TTTATTATTTATGAGATGGAAATCAGGATCTTGGATGACTGAACTCATTAAAGACCATTTGGTGTAGTTCCCATCTATTTCTTCCACGGCACCCACACAGCAAATAATTCACAGAGTAATTAATGCCATGTCTTCCCAAACAATGCATGCTTCCGACAGGAACAGTTCAAATAGGAAATGCACGAAACTGCACTGAAATAGCTATAAGCTTAAAATACAAACCAGCAAAACAAGGAAATCATGTGTCAAGGCAATCACGGCTGCTGTAACTGACCTTACTGGGCCACAGACATCCCAGAATTAGCTCAGAGAAAGCCCGTGGAGTTAGACAAGGGGCAGTGTGGATGACCAGGCCTTGGCCCTGGCACAGCTCTCGCCTGCAACTGGAACAGGCAGCACTTTGTCTTTTTGCCCACACAGACTACACAGCATAGCAGGAGAGAAACAAGCTGCTTTTCCTCCCTAGCTGTAGCCCACAGGACTATTTGTATAGGAGTTAATTAAATACCTTTCCAGCATTGCTTCTATCTGCAAAAAGTTCCTAGATGCACAGCTATGCTCTGCAATGGAGCGTCACCCTGGGATTCCCCAGCCAGGGCCAGCTGAGGAACTGGTTAGCAGGAGAGCTGTGTCAGCACGAGCTGTGTCTGGGCTAGCCCTCAAGGAGGTGGGCAGATGATTAGCTCAGACAGGCTGACACAGTTTTGGAGCCTAAAAGCATGCATGGCAATGCAGTGAGCTATGCGTATACATCATCCTCTCTGAGCTCCTTTCCATGTGCTGCAAAACCCGCTCCTAAAATGAGGGAAGGAGTGAGATGGGTCTCTCAGTAATGGATTGCTCCCTTCCAGCCTCTCTTCATCTCCTGCAAAGAGCTGGTAGCCCCACACAGGGCTGCAACTCACTGACTCAGGAGTGAGCAAAACAATCCCAATGGCCACTCAGCAGATCTGTGGAACACTGGCTAGGTTTTAGAAGAGGAATTCAGGCACAGAGAAATGAGATCTCCCCAAGAAAATGCATGGCAAAAGAGGAAGCCAAAAGCAGACCTCTAGATTCCCACGTTTAGCAGCCTAAAACACAGCTTGTTCATTCTCTCTAATCAGTAGAGACATAACAGAGCAAGACTTTGCTATGTGCATACGTTTAAGTTTCACATCACAGCTACCACTATTGTGAGTACTGGTCAGCAAGTCAATGGGATCAGTAGGGCACCAGAGAGAGATACCCCTTGTTTACTGTCTAGTTAAGTGTAAGGACAGAAGCTTGAAGGGATGGAGCCAGTTGAGATCCCTGAACCAAAGCTGTTAGCCAAGAAAATGACCATATGTTTAGAACTGAAATCTCACTGCCAACCAAGTCAGGGACAGATGTTCATTAGAGAGCCATCTCTAACATCTTTCCACCTTATTGAGCCATGTGTTTGCCAGCATGTCTCCTTGGAAGACAGAAAGGGATGCGAAGAATACAGAGGTAATTGGTTCCTCTTGCTACCACCTCCACAAGCAGCTTCACACCTCCTATTCACTAAGTGGGATGGGATATTCCTGTCCCCTCCTAGCAGGCACAGGCCCTCGGGTATCACTCAGCCCTCGTGCACAAACAGAGAGGGGGATCTGGTCCGGCTCTGCAGCTCAGCTGTAACAACATCCTTGGCTCTTTTTCTTTTGCTCTCTCAGAAGAGCTCCTAAAACAGACAAATTTATATTAATTTTATCTTAAAGGGAAAAGGAAAACAGTTTAGAGGTTGAGAATGTGCAGTAAACAAAACAGCTGTATTGTAAATCCTTAAAAAAAAAACCACATACTTTACAATGATAATTATGGCAGATTAAACAATGAGTGTCATCAGTGTGATGGTACAATGCACACAGTACTGTTTCCTACTCAAATATTTACAGACGTCTCCAATTTTTTATTTTAATGAAATCTCATCTCACTTTTGAATTGACATCAGAAACCATCCTGAGGCTCACAAGAGCTTTCACTGTCAGAGGCTCTGTCAGATATCTGAACTGCAATTTGCCCCTAGTGGTTCCCAGCTTGAGCCAGAAGAGTACTGTAAACGTAGCTATGTAGGAGGTGATGAGCCTGAAAAATCATTGCCTACAGAGAGAACTCTAAACCCGGAGAGGGGCTGAGGACTTACCCTTCTGTACCATTAAAACACAAATTGTAAGGATCCCCACACTTTGAAGTAAAGTTTTGGTACAGATTTTTTCTGCTTCACAAACACATGCACACAAAGCTGTGCAGTCATGATTAAGTGATCCTCCTCGGATGGCCAAGCACCTGGAATCCTGTCGTCATTCAACACACGTGTGTGTGACAGGTACGGGCTGAAATCATGAAGCCAAATAAAATAAACCAACCTCTTTGAGAACTTTCCAAGAGCTTCCCAGCTGTTGGATGGGAAATAGCATAATGTAAACTGTGATACATTAATTAGTGTTGAATGACAGCATGTGAACCCAGAGGGCTTTGATTAATACGAAGTGAGTCTATGATGTTCATGTTTTATAACAAATAAGTGGAAAGGCTCATGGTAAAGCCTGCATGTGCTAATGACACCAGTTATTAAGTAAATTTGTTTTGTACATTGCTGGGCATTATGCAAGGAATATTCAATGGGCTGAATCCTAAGGTTGATTCTTCACTGTTGTTTAGTTTTAAGCAAAATGTCTATTGGCTTTAATAAGACCTTTGTTTAAATAAAGGAAATCACCTCAGGCATGACCCTTATGGATATGTCTCATTGTCATGTTCAATATAGTTGTCTAAGCTCCTGTATTTGTGACATCCTGCTTCCTCTGGGCTCTCACAGCGTCATTCTCCCTCAAGTACTTGCCAGATTTTTGGATGTTTTCTCCAACTATTTGCTTAGACTGAGTTTGCCGAAAGCCAAGAAAGATGCTGAAGACTTCTCAGTATAGAAGGAGAAGCTGTGTTTTGCCACAGTCCCACTAATTGTTGAAAAGATTTGGAACCAGAAGGCGAGTTGGTATGGGCTGCACTTCCAAGTTGGCTGTGAAAGCCACAGATTCACACATGCCTTAAAGGCCAACCATTCTCCCAGCCCCAATGTAATGAGAAAACAACCCAGCATGCCTCCCCTGCTGACTTTGCAGAAGTAACTAAGCCATGAGCTTTAACTCTCACCGCTCTGGGAAAGTAAAACACGACGGGCAGCAATGAAATCTTTAAAGAGATAGGAAACAAACTGGTGTTTGCCAAATGGAGAAGGGCTATATGACTAAGCCAGTATTGTTTACTTAAACACTTCCCAAAGCCTGCTAAAGATAGTAGAGCATAAAAATAAACGTGAGAGCTATCAAACTGAATTAAGAGTAGTCAACAAGCATCTTTAGGGTAGCAACATAAGGGAGGTGGTTTGGAGCTGTATATCTGAATAGTCTTTGTGCCAGCTTTTCTGGCCACTCAATATGAGGGATATTTTATGGACAGGAGAGTACACCCTGGGAACTGGGGAAAGATCCCAGTATCCTCCATTTTAAGTAGATTTTGTAAAGCACCTGTCCTAATAATACCATTACAGCCCTTTCTAGACTGCTCCATACAGCATCAGATCTGAGTCAGCACAAAATTAATGAGCATGAAGTAGAATTTGAATGTGTGAAACAGAAAATTCCCTGCAAACTCTGCAAAATATATGGAAACACATACAAATAACAATTTCTGAATAGGTTTAACATTTCCATCTAACTTTATTCCTTTTGGAAACATTTTCTAGATTATTCAAGAGAGAAATCTAAAGTATTTCTGGGAAAAAATGCTTATGTAGTTTATAATTCTTCATTTTTCATAGCTTTCTGAGCAAGAACTAAGAGTTATCAAAAGCTGCACCCTTATTTATTCCTGAATTTCTTCCTGTTTATCGCCCTTTGACAAGTGGCTGACTCAACAAACAACTGAGAAACGACTGAATAAATCTTTTCTGGGTGGTATTTTAAGTTGGAGTATTTTAAGAACTGCTATTACATTGCAGCTGAATATTCCAGCAGACTGTCTGACCCCTTTCTGAATCAGAGTGCCACCAGGCTAAATGTTTGCACAAATTCCAAGTGTAGCCCTACAGATTCTGCATAGAGAAGAGCTGTTTTACATCCAAGTGAACAACTGCTCTTTAGTCTGGCATTTGATCTGTAAAAAGTGCAATCTGTAATGACACCAGAATGGGTACTGTCATTGTAGATTCAGCATAATCCGTGTTTTCTCAAGTGTTTCTTTTAATAGTCATATTTCTTAACCCATAAACAGGTATACAACTGTACAGAGAGACCTCTCTCTATGCAGCAGGATCAATACATTTGAAATCTTACAAACGTTAAGGGCAAAGCAGAGCATTCAAAAGATTTGAACAAAAGTTGCTGAGCTGCTGTTAATGACACCAATTGTCTGGGTTGGAATTTTTTCAGAGGAAATGTTAGTACTCCAAAAATACAAATAAGGTCATTGAAAGACTTTACCAACTCAGCAAAATTTCTCACTCTTCCAGACATTCAAAAACCCAGACAAATTGATGTCTAGTCTGAGAGATTGCACAGAAAAGAAAGAGAGCTATTCAAAAAAGTTTACTGAATGTAACTGAGGTAGATCATAACAGGTACCTGCTGTCCTTAGGGCAGTAGCAGGTAATGAAATTTGATTCTATAATCCTGCTTCTCTGAAGCATGCCCAGTCCCTAAAGAGCTCCTCAGTGACATGCAATCTAAAAGTGTGTTATCACAAGTCTCCTTACAATGGTGAGTACCAAACCCCAGGACTATTGGAAAAAGAAACGATTTCTTTTTTTCTCTAACTTGCAACAACAATGAAATGTAGTTTTCTGCTTATTTTGAAATGTGCTCTTGTGATCAGAGCATTAAGTTAATAGAACACATCAAAGGGAACAAATTTGAAATCTATACCTTTCTGTTTGAGTACTTGTTCTGTTGCTAACTGACACCACTTATTCACACCTAAAGTTTTCACAAGTATTCAGTAATTTTATTTGTACTGCACGTACAGAATGAAATACAGGAGCAAGGCTGATCGTCAGATTCACATGGAACTGTTGAGCAGCTGTTTGACCAGTGCTAAATACGCCTGTTGCCCTCAACGTATCTGTGGTCTTTTGTCATCCTCTCTTTACAGAGAATGGCAATTAAACTGTCAAACCCTCCTGGGATGGGAAAGGGCCGGAGGAAAAGGAAACAGAAGGAAAACAGACAACTGATGACAGGAGACAAATGTGCCATGGACATGGGCTGGCCATTTGTTTCATCTGTCACAATGCCAGTACAATGGGAATAACTAGCAGTGTCGATGGCAAATGACTTGCCTTAGTCCTTAGACTCACGTGCTCAGAATAGCGGCAGTAGAGAAACTGTGAAGAACTTAATTATTTACTACTGAAGCACTGGCCACAATTCAGGTCAACTCCTTAACTGTCTTCTCAGAACAGCTAAGAAGAGTCATCCTTTAATAACTATGATCAAGGAACTGACAAACAGTGAAGAGCTCTTTATTCAGTTCTGTTTCTTGCTTTTCTAAAAAGCATTTGTGGTTTGGTAGAGGCTAGGAAAGTGGGGGGGGAAAGGAGAGAATAAAAGGAATAAAGGGAGAGGGGACTGTTTTTTTCTTCCAGGTACCCTCCAGCCGGTGAATGGTGAGCGCATACTGTGACCTTAACTGAACATTAGGATACGTATTTCGAGCACAATTACTAATTGAACAGAATAATTATCTTCCCAGCTAGGCAGGTATTTCTTGTGCCTGCGGTGAGTCTCGTTTAAGGGAAAGGTGTTCCGCGTGGGGAGCGGTCCCTTCCCCGCACAGGAGATAAGAGATGCCGTTCCCTTACATCATGCAGCTTTACTCAAGCGGGTCCACCACAACTCCTCGTGTACATGGAGCTGGGAGAAAAAAATACGAATTTAAAAACGAATTTAAAAACGAATTTAAAAATCTCCAAGCCCCCGCTAGGACACGGGAGGCCTCGGAGCACCGCTCGTCTCTCCGCCGGCGGAGTCAGGGGCTGACCGCCTGGACTACATCTCCCAGCGTCCTTTGCGAAGACGCGTTGCCGAGACGACGACCACGAGGCCTCCTCGGGGTGCGGGGGCGCCGGCCGCCCTCCAGCAGCGTGGGCCGCGCTTCTCTCGCGAGAGCCGCGCTTAAACTGTGGCAAACTCTCGCGCGAAGGGCGCGCTGGGCCGTCATGTCGGCGGCGTGTGGCGGCGGCGGGCTGTTCGCGCTGGAGGTGCTGGTGGAGGCGGTGCGGGTGGCGGCCCCGGGCCCCGCGCTGCGTCCGGCCGTGGCGCTGCGCCTCCTCGGCTTCCCCACCCTTTTGCTACACCCCGCCGCCTCCGCACCCCCGCTCCGTCCCGGCCGGGCCTTTCCCTTCGGCCGCGGCAAGCGCTGCCTCTTCCGCTGGCGCCGCGGCTCGCTTTGCGCCGCGCTCCGCCGCCAGCCGCTCCGCGCCCTGCTGCTGGCGCTGCCCGCCGGGCTCGCTCCGGAGCCCCCCCGCCTCCTCGGCAGCTGCAGCGTCTCGCTGGCCCCCGCCGCCGCCGAGGTGCAGCAGCGGCCCGAGGAGCCTGTCCGCTGGGGCCGCCGCGGCCGCTTCCCGCTCAGGGACGCGGCGGGCCGCACGGTCGGGGAGCTGATGCTGGGCTTCCGCCTCAGCAGCCTGGAGGCCGGGGAGCAGTCGGGCCCCGCCACGCCACCCCGCGCCTCTCCTGCGCCGGAGGACGAGGAGGAGGAGGCGGATGAGGAGGAAGAAGAAAAAGAGCAAAGCGAGGAGGACGGCAACGTCATCTGCCCTCCCGTGCTGTATTACAGCCGTGAGCCGGCTGAGCCTCGTCTGCCACCAGCAGCAGCCATGGGGTGCTGGCAGCGTGTTGTGGTACAAAGTCCACAAGAGCAAAGCGAGGTCCAGAGCCCCCCACGCCCCAGTGCTGGGCCCTCCTTGCTACACCCCAGGAGCCCTGAGCAACTCCACGGCACCCTGGCACAGTTGCCGCTGCTCAGTGCCTTGCTGGCAGAGCTGTCTGTGCTCACCCGCTCTGCTACACCTGCTGCTGTCCATCCGCATCTGGCCTGGCTCTACCAGGCCCCAGGGGACTGTGGCACGGGTCCACAGCCATCCAGCCATTCCCCTGCCCTGAAGCCTGCAGAGGTGCCGGTGAGGCCAAGTGGGAGCAGTGAAGCTACCAGCTCTCAGTTCAAGCAAGGCCAGCAGCGGACTACCTTACCAGGGTCTTCTCAGGCTGGGAAAAGAGCTAAGAAAGCTGCACCCCAGGAAGAGACAAAATCTGATAGAAACTGCAAAACTAAGGAAAACGCACCTCCCAGAAGGAAACTGTTGTACGGGCTGACAAATACACTGAGATTACGACTGCAGCAAACCAATCCTGATAAGCTGATACAGCTTGAAAGGAGAGAGCAGTACAGAAAAAAGCAAGTAGAGAAGCTGAAGGTGAGAAGCCCACTATCCAGAAGAAAGCTGCTCAAAAATGCTGGAGAACAGTGTGTGGTTTCTCACAAGCAGTGTGCCAAGGGAGACAGTTCAAAGCAGAATGGTCAGGTTGATGAAACTGTTGAGACTTCATTACAAAATAGTGCTCTCAATGAGTACTTTTCTGGTACAGATGTTTTTCTTGACCTACAGAAGCAGTCTGCTGAAAGTCTGTCAAAGAACAACAGGTTTGCAAGCAAGGAACATCCATGCAAAGCAACAGTAGCCTCCTTACTGGAGAAAACTATATTAAAGTCTGCTCACAAAGAAAAGGACTTGAAAGTTCAGCTCCCAGCAGCTTTCACATCAGATGCTAATGTGAAGGGAAGCAATGATAATGAGGAAGTGATACACTTAATCCATCCTAAAATCATGGAGCACGATAATACCTCTGTTGCAAGTGATCAGAAACGAAGCCCCAGCAGAACTGCTGAAAAAAGCTCTGAATTCATATACTCAGATGACTTTGTTGCTAGTACTGACAACATAGTTTATTCAGAAGATTTCACCAGTGCTGAGTGTACAGACAGAGACTTAGAAGCTCTTGACAGCAGTCCTGAACCTCTCTGGCTTGAAAGCCCAAACCGACCTTGGTCAGATACAGAGGTGGAATCCAGCAGGTCCAAAGTTTCAAAAGCAAGTGAAAGAGCTGAAAGTATGTCAGATTTTCTGCCAGTGCATTCATCTTCATCACCGGTCTCTTTGAAGAGAAACCATGGCTTGAAAAACAGCAAAGAATCTGGTGGTGAATCTGTTGATTTATTTAATGACACCTCTCTCTGGGCAGGATTATTAGATGAAGAGCAGGAAGCCCATCAGGTTGATGAGGAAGAGAACGGAGTAGATGAGCATATTAAACAAGCATCTGTACTGAGAAGTGAACAAGTTAGCTCTGATACTGATCTGAATATAGGAAAAGGGCAGACCTCTGCAGAAAACAGTCAGTCAGTAACTGAAGTGTGCTCCTACTTACCATGTAACTTGTCTGGTCTTGAACTTAGTGATGTGGAAGACGGTAGGTCTGGCAAAGATGATGATGTTTTGGAAGACCTACATACTCAATACAAAGATATCGGTGAACTTGTAATAAACAATCTTCCAGGATACACAGTGTAATTGCAAGTTGTCACTGTCTGGATTAAAATATGGTATTTAAACTATTTTTATAGTTTGTTACATTTAGTTACAATTCATACCATGCATATTTATACATCGGTGAATTTACACATGAGTTTTTCAGGTAAACTACTAGAATCTCTAAGTGGATCTTGATCATTATCTAGAGGATGACTTCAGTGTCAGTATAGAATTATTGAATCACAGAACCATAGAATCACAAGAGCATCTAGTCCAACCGTCGTCCTATCATCATTTCTACCCACTAAGCTACTAAACCAAATCTTGTAGAACCTAAACCATATCTTGTAGCAGATATCCTAACACAAAAATAATCTGATCAGCACAGGAAATATGATTTACTGTCAAAAGCAGAAATGAAAACAGAAGCAGGGATTGCAGTACTCAGAACTCACCCAAAGTAAAAATAATGTGTTACAGAAACAGCCAAGTACAAAATGCATTCCTAGCTGAACATTAAATTTTTATCCCTCGTGAAAATAGTTCTATGCTTCATTACAAAGAGTTACTTAAAACATACCATCACACCTAGTAACAGCACATACTTTTATCAACTATTCTGTCTAATGAGGCATTTTTTCATTGTTCTGTCACTAAATATACAGACCAGAACTAGATGAGCCCTTTTCCATTACTGTAGATTGAAGTTTCTCATTTAAGTTAGGTTTTCATGATTTATTATAAAATAGCTTAAGAATTATTGATGACTGTAAATCTATATAATCTGGGAGAGCTTTAAGGAGTTGGAGAAAGTTACTTGACCTTGAAGAGTAAGAGTGTGCAAAGAGAAGGAAAAAGTGCAGTAAATTTTCCATGCTTCACAACTCCCTGATTGCATTCTCTGACAGTGGGGAAGGGGTAGGAGGGGCAGGACCCAAAGTCAAGAAACTGAACAAACGAGCGTATTACATCTTGATTTAAAGATTCAAGATAGTGAGAAATTTGCTGTGTCTCCTTTTCTGTTCCACTGGCTGAACTCCTACGTGCTACATCCCCCTTTCTGTTAAAATGCTTGAATTACCACCTGATGTTACCTTTTGGTTTCTTACTTCATTTCTATAACTTCCAGTTTGATCATTGGACTTGCATCTTGTCTTCTATTTTGCTAATGAGATTGTTGGTTGGTTTTGGGTTTTTGTTTTGTTTTTTTTTGTTTTGTTTGTTGTTTGTTCTTTGTTACATCTGTTAGAAATTTCAAAGATACTCTTTGACTTGAATCTGAAGAGAGCTCAGAATTGCTGCCTTAGCTTTTAAGTCTTTTTTGTCTTCCCTTTCTACTCTCGGACTAGTCCATTTCTTTTGCCAACCTTAAATTCCTAACTCACTCATCGTTTATATCATTTATCCTCAAGACTATTAAATGACAGACTTGCTAACTTCCTTTTCCCCTGTAATTTACAATGACTTTTTCCATTTCTGTGCCTTGATAATATGACAATGAGTGCTCTATGTACTTCTTACAAGAATCTGTGTTTACACTTGAATATCTTGGAAGATTTTTATTTCTATCCTATGTGTTTATCTTATAGGAATGACAGTATCTCCTTTACTTAAATTACAAACATCTCTGAGGATTATTCAAGTATTTAGTGTAGACCTCTGAGGAGAATACTACTACTATTTTTAATCTAAAGGTAAACAGCTGTAAATGCCCATTCATCAAAGGAATCTGGGCAGAACAGTTCTGAAATGTTATTTAGGGTTCCTCTGCTTCATCAGCTCCAAATCCAGACAAAATTATTTCTTTATTGCCATGGATCTGATACATGTGAAATCAGACTGTCACCTATACGTGGCAGCAATTCTGATTTCACTGATGGAATAAGTTCTGTGCAGTTCCCATGTCACTGAAATACAATGATGCCCAAACATTTTTACTGCCTTGCTATATATAAATGATCTGCTTACCCTAAGAATCCAAGGTTTGAAAGTCATTACTTAAGAAAAGTTTATTTAAAAAAGATTTCGCAGCCCCAAATTGATTGAAAATCAAGGGCAAATTCCCACTCCTCTATCTATCATCTTCATTTTTCAATTTCCAGTAGTAAATATGGCAAGGATAATATTTCATTGGGTTAAGTAACAAAACTCCACAGTCTCCTTTTAGTTAATTTTATTTGGGATAACTTTAAAAGAGTTTATAATAGAATTTATAATTTAATCAGGACAATGATGAAAACAACAGAAAATATGCACTAAGAACACAACAGGAGACATGACACAGTAACAGGAGGTCAGCATAATGCCTACTTGTTTTGGTTGCTTTGTGTCTTTTCAGATACAGGTTCACATTAGTTACTGTTACACAGAGAGGTTCCTATCCTCAGGGATATTAATCTTTTCAGATGTTATCTGTGTTGTCATGAAACTAAACAATCTTTTATTTAATATTCAAATAACATCCCCTCAGTCAACAAAAATGGGAAGGAACTTCACGTCACTGATCACTGAAAACTCAACTCATAAACCAAGAAGTACCTGCTAATGCCAAGAAGATTCTGTATCTCAACCCAGCAGGGTAAAACAGAGGTATTAACTATTAGTATGAAATATGAAGAAAAAAAAAAAAGCCAGCAACAAATTCCCTTTTGTACAAATCCTACAATCATCTACACTCAGACACATTATGTTATCCAGACAATTTTGTCATTGTAACTTGCATCCTGTATTCCTATGACCAAGTTGTTAACACCAGAAGTTTAATAAGATTTCTCTACCTTAATGGAGGTACTCAACCAATTTTTCATAAAGACATCATTTCTAAACTGTAGGGGCCAAATTGCACAGGTTATGATTGTGCACAGGACATGACAGTACTCTGGGCAAGGAAAATAATAGTAGCATATCCTCCACAGAACCATAGCAATAGAGCACCTGAGTGAAATAGCAGGAGAAAAGAGAAGTGCTGCTACTCTGGTAGTTCTGTGCTACATCTCTGCATTAACAGGCCTGATCTAGGCCTAAAAAGTCAGTGCATTGGAAAGCTGCTTTCCTAGAAACATCTCAACTAAAATTGCTCATTAGAAAAGGAGAAGATAGCTGAAGAACCCTACCCCTTCTGCATGCCAAGACTTTGAAAACTCAGCTTTTTGAGCAAGAACAGCTTATTCTTCCATACACATTCAGTCCCTGGTTGTTTGTTGGAGTTCCTGGAAAAATGATTAATTTGTACTCATTACAGGATGTGCCCCTGTCCACTGGGAGATGTGCATAAAAACACGCTGATTTCTTAGATGCTCCCATCTGTCTGCTTATAAGAGCTTTCAATAGTTACTGAATGTTGAGCAATCCACAGAAACAAACGGTCAGTTACATATACTGTATAGATACAGAGACAATGGCTTGTCACAGTGTAAAGTGTGACAAAACCAAAATGTTTACCTATTTCCTACTTTCCAGTAGCCTTCAGATTTTATATACAACTGTAATTTGACTAAATTTGCTGTAGTTTTCATTTTGGCCTCACAGTCTGTATTGCTCCAAAGTATTAAGTAATAAACTATAGTTACTTCAGATTTTATAGTTTTTTAGTTACACTTGGCTACAGCAAAATTAAAATGTTAAAATTATTTACCTAAGTTTATTATAGTTTATGACTAAGGAAAGCCATCTAGTACCTTACTATTGACTTGCTACTATAGCAACTGTGTGTACCATATTCCAAGAATATATTCTGTAATACTCTGTATGTTAGCATAGATGCGTGTTCAAAACTTGTTCGTGGTAAGGGTAGTTAAAGCAACTAAAATAAAATTGAACTTAATGTTTCACTACACAAGTCCCAGAGTGAGAAATAAACTCATAGACATACACATTAATTTCTCTCAAAATTTATTACACCCTATAGCAATAGTTTGTTTTGTCTGTCTTTTAAAAATACATTTCAGCATACTATTTACTCAAACTTAGATAGGTAGCACGATATAACTGATGGTGAGATGGGAATAGCAGGATGCCAAGTAGTGACACTTTAGGGTTTTTTGTCGTGTTTTATTTTTCTTTCTTTAAACCTCTTCTACTGTAAAGTTTTCCAGCTGTAGGGCAGTTCTGGTCAGTCTTATTACTCAGTCTTTTGCCCTTGTTGCCTAGGAATGTTTTTTAAGATGCCTCAGTCAAGGATCAGTCTCGGATCAGTCTCATCCACTTCATTTTTTATTCCTCAGCTCTCAGCACCCTGACTAGATGATACTGTTTCTTCTCTGCTTGTGATTTTGCTGGTTATAATTTGTAATCCCTTCATTTTGGAACTCCTTTTCCTCAGTTTTCTGAGATTGTATTCAGCTTTGGTAACTGTGCAATTTTATTTTATTTTATTTTATTTTTTATATTATTTATATAAAAATATATATTTATATATATATAAAATATAAAATATATATATTATTTATATTATATATATATATTTATATTAACAGCGTTTCTCATTCTTACTGCCTTAATGTTCTATGTCCCAGTACTTTATGATACCTGCTATTGCAATCATTTTGTTTCTTTTTGTGAAAGTGCTGCTCAGAGTTAAATGCTCTTCCCATCTGGACATCTTTGGGACTTCTGCTTTCATTTTCTCAAGATTTGTCACCAGCAGATACCTTACTGTTTATTAAGCTTTGATTGCCTAGAAATAAGTGAAATCATTGAATCTTACACTCATATCCTTAAAAGGTTTTGTTGACTTTAACTGCAGCTCTCGTGAAATATAACACTGCTCACTCAGAGCTGCAGGATGGCTGTCCAGAATACTGTGGTTGAACATTTATCCACAGTTATCAGACATCAGGTTTCTCTACCTCTCCCAAACAATCCTATCTTTAATCCCTTTCTGAAGTTTCCATTTGCAGAATAACCTTATTTCAGAGAGCCAAGGCCATCCTTGGTGAGAACATATGCTGACTGTAATTTAACATTGATTTTGAGCTAATGGCAATCACACCTACCGGAGCTGATGTTTGTTACCAGCTAGCTGCTTGCACTTTACATCCTCCCTTTTAATCAGTATACTGCTGGATTTTAATTTCTAGTTTGTTCACATTCAGATTCTTCCTGCATTTAAACTTCTATTATGTATGCAGTTCTGGTATGCTGAAGTCACCCAGATGAGCTATAGCTTCACTGTCTTTTTCTTGTTTGGCATTGGCATTCACTTCTATTAAATGGTATTTGTTTGTTTGAGGGAGCGGTGAAGGGGGTTGGGATTGTTCTATGATTTCACCGAATCTCTTAAATTCTTACATGAATTTTGATTTGCAATTTAATGTAAACCTCCCTTGACAGGACAGCTCGCATCTTCCCAGAAAAGCACATTCAGTTTTCTCTGTTGGTTTCTAGAGGATGAATTTGAATGTCTCATGCTGTAGAAACTGGTATTAATCTTTAGTTCTGCAGAGTCCTCTTCAAGTGACTCATTTACCAGTTGTTCAAAATAACATGACTTGGCAGAGGAAATGTTTAAATAACACCTGAGATAGTCATTATTCCTAACTAAATTAAAATTTGAAGATTGATTCAGTTACTGTTAATTACAAAAACACCCCGAAAATGGTAATTTAAAAAAGAAATAGTTATCTATAATTTTTATTTATTCTTATCAT